GATGCTGATGGGCAGGCATGAGCCATTTCAGCCTCTCAGCAATGTGCACACATCCTTATCCTCACCCGGGATACCCTTCTTCTTTGCCTATTTGAATTCTGTCCATCCTGCAAGACTCATTTTTGCCTCCTCTCTAGAGCCTTCCTTTATATTATTTCCATCTACCTGGGCACTTGTCTTAATTCAATGGCCAAAACCTACACACTTGGTACCACACTTGGCAACATTATGCGGCTCAGGAGTTAAAGGGTTTCAGGCTAGGCAGACCTGGGCTTGAATGGTGACACAGCCACTTACCAGCTGCTGTGTAATTTGGGGCAAGTAACGTAACTTCCTTGAGCCTCAGTTTCCTCATCTATAAAGTGGGGATGATGACAGCATCCCTTGTAGAGGGTTAGTGTGAAGATGAAATGTAAATAGCCCATAAAAGCAGTTAAAACAGCACCTGGCACAACATAAGAGCATGCATATTATTAGCTATTACCAGGATGGTTGCTAAGAATCGCATAGATGAAGAACTTCATCTTCCTGTCTTTAGAGAGAGGAGACACATCTTCAACATGCCCTACAATGCTAACTAAGCCCAGCACTGAAAACCCAGGAGTCACTCAAGCACATACACTGACGAGGACTCAGTAGGATAAGAAGTCAGACATGGGTAGGCTCTCTCAGAGTACCCACATTTGCGGAGGAGGGAGGTGTACTACGAGCAGCTGTGTACTACGACGCAGTATGTGACAAACGTGGTTAAACTTCTGAAAGAAACCAGAGGGAAGATGCCGGAGTTGACTGGGTTAATCGGGGAGTCTTCAGGGAGAAAGAATTAAGCTGAACTAGAATTAATCACGGTTTATAATTTGCTAAGACTACTGCTCCGCCCTGGGAAGTAATGAGGAAGGAATGCTCGCTGTGTCCTGGCTGCTCTGCAGCTCGGCTGCAGCCATGGGCAGGCTTCGTCCCGGACACGGCAGACCATATGGGCTCCAGCACACACCTTGGTGGGGCAGTCCAGAAAACCTTCCCGATTACCTCAGCCCCAGGGGACCCAGGGCACTTCAAGTGTGTAAGGCACGAGTGAGTGCTGACTTCTCTGCACAGTCCCAAACAAGACAGTTACCTCAGAGGAGTCCGTTTCATCTTTCTAGTACAGAAAAAAGCTCCTTAGTGGACAGGTTTTATAAGACAAAAGGAAACACCTGGGCTTGCCCTGCTGGGTAAATGCAGGTGCAGGCTTCTTTACCCCTAGACCCCTGACAACCCCAGGTGTTCTTCTCCAGCACTGGGCCCACTCAGGATTCTGGAACTCTGCAGGAAAGACCCGGCCTGGGTTCTGCTGCCCTGGATTCACGTCTCTCCATCAGAGACTTCCTCTCATCCTTCCATCTCTGTATGGCCTGCTCAGCCCCTACTGCTCATTGCTTTCTCATGCTGAGTTGAACTTGGGCCAGGGACCCAGAAGTCCATCAAGGCAGAGGGGCCCTGCGATGGCCTGGGTCAGCGGGCACTTGGCAGTGGAGAAGCAGTGGGCCTTTTCCAAGTGGCTGAAGACCATGAGCTGAGCTTAATTCCAGGTACACTCTGTGTTCCATGCGAGTCTTGGAGTTCAGCGTCCCAGGAGACACCCACGTTTGACACCAGGCCTGTACTCACTTTGACTTCCTCATGCGTCCCTCTGCTTGCCCAAGTCCTACCTGCTTTGGACACCCAGCTCCTCTATGAGGTCTTCCTGATTACTCCTGCCCCGAGTCACCCATGGCACCTCGAGTGTGTAAGGCACAATTGAGCACTGAATTCTGTAGTCCTGAGCGAGGATCACTACAGAGTTAGTTTCGTGTTTTTAAGAATAGATAAAAGCTCCTTAGTGGAAAGGTCTTATGGGACAAAAGGAAACGCACTTGCTGAAACTTTGCTGCGTGCCGAGCCTTTCACTTTGCCATCCCTTTTAATTTTTCTCAGGCATCCCCAGAATGCAACTCAGTTCTGGGATTCAAAGAGGTGGCAGTGATTGGTCTCATAAGACTTATGCTCCGTGGGACATTAAGGGCTGCTTGTGACATCAAGTCATCCAAGGAAGCCTTGGGAGGCAGGCTCTGCTATTTGCAGGTTCTGCTCCTCTCACCTCTAGAGTGGTCAGTTGGGCCCCGAGTTAGGAATGTGGAGTGGCTGCGCTTGTGCTTCGGGAGAGGTTTTCTGGGGACTGTGGGCCTCTCCCTCGAGGCACGCGCTGCACTTGCTAGCAGCAGCCGTTTTCTCCAGCCGGGCCACTGACTTCCTCCGTTTGGCACAGCTACAGGGTCAAATTCAATCCACTGCACCTGGTGGGGACGGGCAGCGTGCCTGGTAAGCACTTACGACCTCTGGTCCTTTGTGGACTATGGGTCTCTCTACTTCCTCCAGGACCTTCCACTGCTCGCTTGGTGGAAAAATGAGCTGATTCTCCCTGAGAAGCCCTTCCCTCCTCAAGAGGACCATTACTCTTCCCTAGCACCCCCATCTCCCCATCCTCATACCCCTGCATGTCTGTGGCCACATCCTAGCTCTGTACTAGGCCCTGTCTAATGGCTGGGAAGTAGCTTGTGGAGTGTGAGCCCCCCACACTCACTCGGTGTGGTGTAAGTTCTTTGGGGGAGGCGTGGCAGTCTTCTCTTGCAGCCCCCACACACCAGGCTGGTCCCCTAGAAGGCACTGGGCAAATAATGTTTGAACTCAGCTATCACATTTTCCCCTGCTTCTTGATAACCTCGACGTCATCATTTCCTCCCTCATATGTGCTCTTCCCCAGCGGTGAGAGAAATGAGCAAGAATGGAGAGAACTGGTCTGGTCTGAGCAATGCCACTAACAGCGGCTGGTGT